CAATATCGACGACATAGTTCAGCACCTGAATTTGACTTAACCACGAAAATGGACCCGCAGGGCAACCATGTATAATTTGCTTTGGCACCACAGCGCCACTTACAGGCCTGGCATACATTTTGCAGCGTTTTCATGCATTCGTGTGGACGATCACATTTATTTTACGTCTCTTTTTTTATGGCAAACGTTTTGGAAAATATCAGCGTTTCGTGTTCGTTTTGACTTCGTGTGGACGGGGCCTGAGTCCTCCCTGGATGACTGAGCTCTTCACCCTATCTCTAAGGGCAAGCCCAGACACACTACGTAGGAAACCCATTTTGCCTGCTTATATTCGGGATCTTGTCTTTTCTGTCATAACACAAAACACATGACCATCCTCGTTCTTTAATATGACCCCAAAAAACTTAAACTCCTCCACCAAAGGCAGTACATCCTCCCGAAGCCAGAGAAGGCATTCTACCCTGCCTCAAGATCATGGTCCCTGATTTGAAGGCACCGATCCTCATCCGGCCGCTTCACACTAAGCTGTCAACCGCTCCAGTGAGAGCAGTAGATAATGCCCAATAAAACCACATAATCCACAAATAGTAGAGACGTCATCCATCCATCCATCCATCCATCCATCCATCCATCCATCCATCCATCCATCCATCCATCTTCTTCTGCTTATCCGGGTTCGGGCGCAGGGGGTAGCATCTTCAGTAGGGAGGCCTGGACGTCCCTTTTCCCAGCCATTTCGGCCAGCTCCAAAGGCGCTCCCAGGCCGATAAACAGAGTCCCTCCAGCGTGTCCTGGGTCTCCCCTGGGCCTCCTCTCAGTGGGACATGCCTGAAGCACCTCACCAGGGAGACGCCCAGGAGGCATCCTAATTCCTAGTTGTCCATAATATTTTTCTTTTTAGAAGATGGAAGAAATGTAGCATCTTGCTGCAAACTCTGGAGGGCCTGAGCTTCCTTAGGAAGAACAGTCTGCCCTCTCCTTTCTTGTAGATGGCTTCATAGTTGCGTCTCTAGTTGAAATTGTTGTCCAGATGAACGTAGAGGTGTTTATAATCCTCCAACACCTCCATTTCTTCTTCCATGATGTTAACAGAATTCAATATCCCGTCCTATTGTTAGGACGTTGAAATGAAATGTTGAAAGGCAATGTAGAAATCACAATAGGTCATGAAGATGAGGGGGAAGACGAAATAGATGAAGAGGGGAGAGTTAGCCGGTGTTTGTGCAGCTGCTGCTAGAGGATGTTAAACAAGATGGAGAACTATACTACAAAACGCTCAGGTTTTTAACTGAGGCTGTTTACAGTTAGCGTCAAGATCAAAACATTTTCTCAGGTATATTATATGTTACATCAGCTCATAAAAAACAACAATAAAACAATAGAGTTATAAGAACATTTAAATACACTCCTTTAAATGAAAATGAATTGAGCTTCTCCCAGCTGTAGAAAAACTACTTTTTATGATTGCTTTGGTTGCACATCATAACAAATGTCTACAAATGAATGGAGCAACTTAAATTCCTTAAAAAAAACAAATATTCAAATCTACTTAGCAGAGCTACTACAATGTTTAGCCACCTCAAACAATGCAATTCTAGAATCGGAAAGAGAATTGCTCAATTATAAGAAAACTAAAATTTCATAAAAAGTCTTTAATTGAAGATGATGTGGACAAGATATGTCCCCACAATCTGCTAGATTTGGATTGTGTTTTTGCAAAGGAAAGCACAAAACTGTGACCAAGTCAAGACTGTTTCCAAACTAAAGATTTAATGCTGTCAATATAAAGCCGATGCTTGCTGAGAACCTAACTGAAATGCAAACACAGGAGTTTTTCAGGGGGAACAGACATAAAATAAGGGAATTTAAGTTTTAATAATCTCTTATTGAAGCATTCCAATGTGGTGAATGGATGCACTGCGGTGTGTGTATAAAACTGGGTTTACATTAGGCATTTGTCCCCCCCTGCCAGAAAATGTCCACAGGCGATTCCTGAGGTTGCTGGGCTGTAAGTGGAGAGGAAAGGAAGGAGCCTGTCCTGCTCAATATGAGCTGCTGGACCGGAGCTCTCACCTTATCCAGAATATGGGAAGACAAACCTCTTACACACAGCATGGAAAACCACATGGATCATTTTCAGTCACTAACAAATAAGATTAATGGGAGCTCTGCTGGGACGTACGCATATCTGTGGTGTCCAGAACACAACAGCCAAACCAGGCGGACCGCAGCGCAGCAGCTCTGGCACTGGCACGGTGAGCCTCTAAATGACTGGTCCTGTCTGTCACTCAGCATGAAGGCATCGTCCACAGACTCCTGCAGGACGTGCAGCATCAACTGTTATTATTACTGCTAATTCATCCGAACCAGAAGTGTAATCTGTAGTGGGATATGGCGGATTTCAGACCATAAACTTGGAGCTAAAACATGAGGGAATGCGCAGAGCAAAGGGGAAAATGTTCCTTAATTTATGATTTGGACAACAGATGGGACTGAGTCTGTAAACAAGGCTCTATAAATAACTGAAAAATTGTTGGTAAAAAAAAACACCAAACAGAGTTTTTTTTAGTCAATCAATTGGAGAAGCAACAAATATCTTCAACGAGAAATATACAGAAAAGCAGCTCAGCAGATAACACCCAGGTGTCGCCTAAAAGCTCTGGACAGATAAGGACTGTGACAACGCCTTGTGAGATAAAGAGCGGCGTACTAACAGTAGCTTCTTGAGAATAATAACCACCTATTGAGGTGCTTCTGCTTCCATATCAAGATAGCCAATCTCACGGCACAGACAGTGAAGGGTGTTGAATCCTGGGGTGGAAGCTGTGGATGTTTCATTCAGATACCCACACAGATAATGTTCAAAGATCTGTAGGGAAAAAAACACAAACTCTAACAATAGAGATGACTCACGAAAGGTTTTATTTACTCCATCTCTCTGAGAACCAAGCTTTCGCAGGAAGAGAAATGAAGATATGATCATCTTCTCATTCTGACAATATCCCTTCTGTTTTATCAGCTTTCTCTCTGCAGCGGTTCAGCGGTGTGCGTTCAAGACCTTAACATTCCTCTAGAGTTGGCTTCCATCTAAAGGCATCCCGATATAAGTTTACAGGAAGTCTGATTCATTTATTTTATTAAATCCCAAAGCTGGATAGAAATCATATAAAGGAGACAAATACAAAAAGAAAACAGGGGAAGCTGGGGTAAAAAAATCTCACCTGCATGATAGGCAACGGACCCTCGGCTCCACCCAGGGTGTCTGTTCTTGGGATAGTCCTGAATGAAAACAATAGAAAATGTCACCATAGAATTCTGCATTGTACGACGAAATCATAGCTATGCTCATTTGGCTCCTGCATTCTCTCTCGTACAAAATGGATTATACCAACCAGGCCTCAGTAAATCTTATACCCACTTTGATAAAGAAAAACAAAAAGCTATATTTACTTTTAATGGGTTTGATATGTAATCAAGCCTACTGACACGAACTTGGATCCAAAGTAAAACAAAGCGTATTAAGAACAATTCAAAGGTTGTAATGTTAGTTAATTGATTTCTGTGGAGTAAATATGCAGTGTACATCTGAAAATGCTGCATTGTTGCCACCAAATTATCTCGATTAAAGAATGAAACAGTTTGGAGACGCTCAGTGGGGCTAGTCAAATACTACGATTTTATAAAATTTAAAGTGTAAATATTTGACGATGTTTTCTTTTTCTTTTAATAACACGTTTATCTCAACACCTGCTAAAACCTTTTCAAAATTTGCTAATATGAATAAGTTAGCACAAGTCAGCTCCCTCATCGAAGCAAAAGAAGTTTCATCTACTGTTCTTCATGGTACTTCAAATGTCAGACAGAGTTTCTAGTTGTTTCATCTCCATTTCAGATCTTTTATTCTTACATCTGAGTTTTAGTTTAGTTTGATTGAGTACTTTGATTTATGTACCCAAAAGAAATTACTATTTTTTATTGGGATAATTTGATTGGCCTGGCTGCAGGTCACAATTAACTACAATGTTGTCTGCGTTTATAAACACACGGTGAGTAAAACTAATTAATAGTGTGCACTTTTTAACAAATTTAGTTTTTTGGAAAAGTATGAAGTATTTTTAAGTAATTAGGTTCAAGTCCAATTCAAGTCCAGAGGAATTGTTGTAAAAGTCAAATTCAAGTCACAACCTTTTGAAAGTTTTTTTTCCAGGTCAAGTCTCAAGCCCTAAAAATGATGACTCAAGTCTGACTCGAGTCCAAGTCATGTAGCTTGAGCCCCCAACTCGTACGTGATTAGGCCTGTTTAAAGATCTGCCTTATAAAGTCCAAGCATTTAAACTGCTGGACACAGTACTACTTGGCATTTTCTAGTAAACAGAAACGTTCGTTAACAAATCTTTGTGAAGTCTTAACTGTAAACTACTAATCTAAATAGTAACAGGGTACTTTAAATAATTTTGGTCTAAGATTTTGCAGGACTGAACAGATTTTTTTTTTACCACAACCTTTAATAAAGGCAAACTTTAAGTAGTTTTTCAGTAAAGTTTGGTTCAGTAGCTGCACAGGTACTGAAGATCCACAAAAGAGTAGGATCATTGAACCAAGAAATAGTTTAATTAATTTTAAAATAGGTGAATATAAGCTATACTTAATATTAAATAAACATGTAATTTATAATTCTATAAATTAAAGAAAAGGAAAAGAAAAAAAACAATGAGGACTCTTCTAACATGTTTGTGTCACTTCAGCACAGTAGTCAGCAAGATTTAAACCCTAATGGCTTTTGTTGACCTCGGCCAAGTTTGACAAAACTTGTAAATATCCAAATAATGTATGTGAAAAAACTGGTTATTTTATAATTAATTGATACCATACGACATTTGCTTCAAAATGTACAAAAGTATGATATTTTTTGTTATTTTAGGGTTTAAAAAAGAATATCCAAAATGAACATAAATGAAATCAATACATTTTCTTTATTGGATTCAAGTTTTTTAATTTAGAATGGGGTCAAAAAGGCACGCTGCATGCAACCAAAAGAGAAACGAAGCAAAAATTTGTAACTCAATTAGGGTCATTTTTGCAGAAAAGCTATGTACTCCTTGCACAAAAAAAAACAGGACTTAGAAAAACAAAAAGAGCAGCTCCATTATCCGGTGTCTCTCAGCTCCAGCACAGCTGATTCAGTTCCCCAGCATGTGATCTATAATCAATTGCCAATGATCTATGTGATTCAGGTGTGTTAAACATCTTAAACTGGTGGAAAATCAGCCATTGAGACCTGCAATTAGAAACCACTAATACCCTTTACTTATGTATTCCATATAATTAGTTTTTTTCCTGCTGCAACTCTCAATGAAATGGACAAGATTGTTTTCCTCTATCTCCTTTGGCAAACATGCTCAGGATGTCTTCTTATTCTGCACTAACAGAAACAATCATTGAGCCCACTTACAGATGATATCATAGGATGACTCAGGTAATTAGCAGCAATTTATACCTGCTTTCTGGGCTGCACCTTTATTATTGCAAAAACACGACACTGAAGAAAAGATTATCAGAGAAAAGACTTGTTGTTTCAGTCTTCCATCTTTTATAAAGGCTTGCTTATTTCTTTCCATCCTCTCTTGCTGTAAACTCCTCTATTGCACTCAACTTTATGAATATTGAAAAGCACAGGAGTGGCAGAAAAAAACTTTAATTTCTGTAATCTGCCAAGTCAGACACAGGACGACCAAAAGGAACAAAATGATCAGCAACATCAACTGACGACAGCTGCAGAGAGAAAAGGTGATGCATTGGGCTAATTTCTCAAAGCAGCAAGGGCAGGTGAAATTATTATCATTAGCACCTGTGTATAGATGGAAAATAAACAAAAAGGGAAACTACAGCCAAATGACAAATGCTACAATTAGAGCCGCCAACATTAAGTGGAAACATCATGCATCTTGACTGACAAGCGGGCTGTAAATCAGTTAACAGGAAATGAAAAAGTATGGAGATATAGAAAGAGAGGGAGGACAGAGTAAGACATCAGTAGACAAAGACAGGGAGACATGAAGGAATGCAGATGCAGATCCAACCCTGGAAACCCTTTATCCACCAAGTCTCCTCGGTCTCAACCACAAGCCTGAGGATTCCTCCAGCTGACTGGGATGTGGGCTGCATCTCCATAAGGAGAAGAGGAACGTCTCAATGTTTATATCCTGATTGAGAGTCTGATATAATCTGTTATTTGGAAAAAAAGGCTCAAGAAAAATAAAAAAAAACATACCTCCGATAATGAGTCAGTTTAGACCACAGAACTAAATCTGCCATTAAATGTCTGTCTTGATCGTGAACCTTGTAGGAACTGTTGTGTCCATAACTTTTACCATCTTGATGTGCTTTTTCTATTAAATAAAAACTCTCTATATGTGCAACACTATAACATCAAACCCACTGATAATATTTATATCCAGTCGAAAGTATTTTCAGAGATTCAGAGTTGAGTCTTTAAGGACTGAATGAAACAAATACACAACCTCCAGGCCCTCTCTAACTCTACTTTCACCATTATACTTAAGCTGTTTAATATTCATTAACAGTTATCTTTTACTCATTAAACATTAATCTCACCCTCAAAGGAAAGTGCTAAAGGTTAATTTATAAGAAGAAATATATCTTCTTAACAGCGTCCAAAAGTCCAAACATGGAACAATTTTTTTCTTAAGAGTAAAATACAGATGTGCATTGAATTTGAAATGCATAGACAGTTAAAAAAATGGTTGACTTTGAATATAGTGCACTGCTTTCTGCACAAAAAATATACTATAAACAAACATTAGAATTCAAACTGATCTCCGATCAGTTTTTGAGTTCTTGTGACATATTTCCCAGAGGGCGCAAAAAAAAGAAGAACAGGCTGATGTGGAGCTAAGCCATAGATGGTATTTTGAGTATCATTATGTAAACTGAGTTGGTGTGTAGATGATGTTTTAAATATAAGAAAATAAACTAATAGTTATTTTAAATTTTTATGCTTCAGAGATGAACAGAAAGTAACTATTCCACTGTTTTGTTAGTATATATTACTGAACTCTTACTTCCTGTTATTGTCTCCCTGTTAAAACCAGTATATCATTTAAAGTTCTCTTTCTCATAAAGCTCTAAATAATTGGGTTCCATCATATGTAAGGGATGTAATTGTTCTTTCCTGACGTTCCTAACAGAGCACTGTGTTCCCAAACTACAGGTTTACTCGTGGTTCACAAGAAATTCAGAAAGAAGAATGAGAGGCAGTTTTAGTCCAAGAGGCAGACGCCATGTCTACCTTTAAAGTCGTAGGGAAGTCATGAATGTCTAATCATTCTGGTTTAAATACGTATATAAATGTACTCTTTATTAGACTATATTGTCCCAAAATGTTTAAAATTTCGATTTTAAAGAAAATCCTTTCTTAAAGTCTGTGGGTTTTTTTTCCCGTTATCTTATGCAGGCCAGTCAGTTATACGGCATCTCTTACACCTAAATTCGGCCAACCATATATAATAGTCATCTGTCAATCAAATGGTTTCGGTCACAGCATCTGGATTCATATGTCGCAGCTAATATATGCACCGGTTGAAATAAGAAATAAGAATCATTTACTTTAAAATTGAGTTCCATCCCAGTGTTCACAGGGATGGATGTCTGTGTCTTCAGCAGGCGTAGAGCTAACAGAACTGGCAGCGTTGCGAGGCAAGGGCTCAAACAAATACGGCAAGTCTTCTACACCAAACCAAGCTTCTGCCGCCCTCTTCAACAACAACTTCGTCCCCGCTTTCCTCCTCTAAGAAAAAAATGTATAATGGAGGAGACTCATCCATGACCTCCGACACAAATCTCTCCTCCTCTTGCATGTTTCCGCTGTCCTTAGCGTTCCTTGACAGTGTTGTTTCTAAGTCACCAATTTAGCGATATTTGCTCCCAATGTAATTTCCCATTGGGAACCTACTAGCATTAAGTTGCTAACTGGTTAGCAAGATGCTTCCGAGACACCGGCCACAAACAACTTGCTTGCTTACCTTCCGCAACAACAATCCCGCCTGCTTGATAAATGACCAATAACATTCACTTTATTCACTTGTGTAAAGTCGGGCACCATTCAGAAGAATTCAGAAATGCAACGGTTGGAACAGCCATTTCCCTACGACTTTAAGACTAGGCCTAAAAAGTTCCTTTTTGATAAAGCTTATAGGTTGGCCTAGGTTAACTGTGCTGCCATAGCCTTAGGCTGCCGTGGACATAAAGGCCAGTTATCC